CCTTTGATAAATATGTCAAATATCATTTGGTGTATGTAAATTTATTGTATAACGTTTTATATTTTATTAAAATACAAGATTTGTCGTTTTTAAAATAACTTAAATTCGTGAAATATTCAAATATATATATATATATATATTCTTTATGTTTTATTAATATTTCATATTCAAAATATTATAGCATTTAATACATTCAAAATCTTTTTAGTATAATATTAACCATACAACCTACGAGGATTTTTTAAAACATAATAATTTATACTTTATACCAATGATGAATAATTACGTAGTTCAGTAAACTATGGTTTTTGATGTTGACTTTAATAAAATAGATTTTACAAAATAATATGTATTGTCGTCTAGTAAGTGTTCGTGTAGATAAGTTTAAACATTCAAAAAACTATATTAGTACACAGCCAAAATTTTTATTGCTGTGGCGATGTAGAAATGAAGCTTGAATGTACCTATTCAAAGTATTCAAATACATAATTACATTGATGAAATTCGTTTATAATTAGCTTGAAATTATTGGAAAATTCGTAATTTTCCTGAAATACAACATTTGGTTTCAATGCTCACGTGCGTGTAAGTTAAATCACATATGTATAACTCCTAGTAATATTTTATTCATTTATTTTTATATTATGGTATATTATAATTTATTTATTTGTTGCCGTCAACAATTTTAACATAAAACATAATATTAAAGTCAGATACAAGGTTGAACAGTCTCTCTTTCAAAAACATAATGCTTGTCTAAAGGGGAATATTATCGCATAGGTAATATTATAAATTGATTAATGGATGATCAATTTTAATAGCGTTTATTGATCTATTTCAAATAATTATCCAACCGAATAGCTTGAACCGTTTTAAGTTTTAATAGTTTAGAATGTTTATTATACGGAGTCGTAATTGTTATATCATACTTTTTTGCATTTTTTTCTGATTTAGGTAGGTAACTATTATTGAACAATAGTATTGACATTATTCGACATCTTAGTATAAAGATACCAGCATATACTATATACCAATATAGTATATTGTATTCATGGTACACTTAACAAATATCGATTTTATGTAATTATTCAGTGATTTATTTACTCAGCGTCACGACCTGATTCAATCTATTTAAAAACTGACACAATGAGCTCATAGCTGACTAGTTACAGCTTTCTTTTTATAAAAACGTTTATTAAATTTAAGCATTTTAAAAGATGACCATATTAACTTAAATGCGTGATTATGGTTTTATTGCATAGCTAATATGTTATATTTTATATGTTTTGTAACATTTTATTTATATCAAATCTTATGTTATTTTATCTTTTAAATGATAATTTATTTCAGGTAGGTAACATATAAGACATTAGCAAGTCTCTGAAAAGGCCCATAATTATGGTATTAGGTATTAGGGTGATKTATGAAGCGTAAAACACTCATTATTTCAAAAAGTGTAGAGTAGAGTAGAGTGGTACGGGGTTACCCCGCGACATATTTGTCCACTACTCCGCTCATCTATACTTTAAATATTTATAACTCATAAACTACTTGCCCTAAATTCAATTTTTATGTATCGAAATACTTAGAAAAATATTCTGTTTTGGAATATCAAATTAAAACTACATGTTGTCATTCAAAAAAGTAAAAAACTTAAAAAATTATAGGGATAAAAAAATGTTAAAAATACAATTTTTTAATAAAAACATGGTTTTGTAAACGACTTGAAGCTATGTAAAATTATATTTTCAAAATCATTTACACTTTTGGAAATAATGAGTGTTGAACGCTCCATGAATCACCCTGATAGGGTACCCTCTTATGTGGTGAACATCATTATCTTTGACATACCTAATATCTAAGTAGGTATTCTATCAAAAATGTAAATATAGATAAATTATTAAAATATATTCCAAGGTATTTATTGTGTTTTGTATATTTGTTTCAAAATTATAATATTAATTAATGTATTAAATAAATCTAATTAAATTTCAAACTTAAATGCTTTTTTTTTGTGTACGCTTACAATAATTTGTATCTATTATTACCTTTTTAAATACCTAACTTAAAATAACCCCAGGCTTTAGACCTAGTCCTACAATTTGTAAAAAGTGTAAACATTCCTACTCGCTATGTGAATTATATTTTTAGTTGTTGTGTATAGTTTAGTTTTTAATAGTATATTGAGGTCAAATAGATTTTTTTTAATTGAGATTTTAATAACGGGTATGGAAGTTTGCCAAAATGTTGATACTATAATTTATTCAAAATATGACCCTAAGAAGAAAATATACATTATTCAGTTCAAAAGATTGTGTATACAACTTTCACCATAGATTAAATTTAATAATCATTAATAGTGCCTTGTACGTTTTATAGTTTTAGATATATTTATTAAATCTGCATAAATAAAAACAATTTCAAAAAACTTTTAGATTTTAAATTTTATACTACCATATTAATTAGGTACTTATAAGTTAATTTCTTTTCAACAAATTAATATAAGTTTTAGTATAATATTTTAAAGACTTATTATTATTAATCTTAAAAACTATTTATGTATTAAACAAACATTTATTACTGTTAGATTACAATGTTTTAAACATAAATATAATTATATTATATAAAGTCGTGAAACCCAATTTTCAAATAAGATGATATATTAGATTTTATATTATGCTTATATCTATGTTGAAATTTTTTAAGCATAGGCGTACATTAGGCTAGGTACAATTTTTTTCTTGACGACTTTCGTAATGCTTTGTTTTATCGCCATATATATATATACGCAAATCAAGTATGGTAAAAAAAAAAATCATAATTTACGGATTGTAATTTTTTGTACGTTCACTTATTATTCTCTGACTAGGTACCTAATTTGATAAAATTATAAAAATGTAATTTATAAAAACAATAATCATAGGTAGTATATTGTGTATCTATATAAGACTTATATACTGTAACACGCGATTACATGAATATAACAAGCCATTTGTCTATCGATCTAATAGCATTATTTAAATCTTTATTAGATTACGAATACCTACAAATATAGTGCCTATTATAATGTAATACCACTAATACCTATACCTAGACATGTGTATTTTTAATGATATGTATAATCAGTATAGAACGTATATCAAGTCGGCTATCGATACCTACCTATAATAAAAGCCTATAGTTTTTATAGGTAGGTAATAATTACATTGCAGATCTATTATGACATTTTCTTACTTTGATGTAGAATCGGAGACCTCGTCGATGTAAAACCGATACAAATGTACACGATATTGACCACCAATAACAATTTTATCAATTTTCGATTGTTCGCCATCACAAGTACCTAACCTGCAGCAGTAAACGATTTCAAAAATTAAATTTAGCAACAGTTACTCGTACGAAAATAGAACGACATTTGGTCGAATATTACACGTCTTTAAACAAAAAACGTAAGTAACGAAACAAAAAATCTTAAAAAAATAAATATATATTATATACAACTATAAATTCACTGAATTAAACGGATGTTAACGTAGGTATGTGCGCTTTTATGTTTATTAAATTTTTTAATGTAGCAGTGACTTAAACCGTTGCTTCGAATTTAATACTATGTTTTTAGGTATCTAGTACGGTCACTTTAACTGACACTGTTAATCAACACACTACCGCCACTGCGATAATGGAAGTCACCGGTTTTCTTTCAGAGATCCTGCTTTTTCCCACTATCATAATATTATGCGGCCGATTTAATTAAGACGAAACACTTTCATTCCGCCTACATCGGTGGCAATGTTTCCGGAACTGATAAACGAGTGGGGTTTATGCAGTGTTCCGGTTCAGCTGAGTTCAGTACACCATGTAACAGGTAGAAAAAAAAACCTCCAGTAATATAAAATGACGGAAATTCGTTGAAAAACAAACGTAACAATACACCACCGTTATTTTTTTTTTTTTTTTGTTACAAACCACATTTGTTAACTCTTAAACAACTAATTCACCAAATTATCATTATTATCGTATAGTAATTCTAATGAGTAACTATATAACAACGATAGTAGTTTTTTCAACGGATAAAAAAATTGGTTAGCTCAAAAATATCTTTTTTTTAACATATTTATTTAATTTGTACAATCTGTAAGAGGAATTTATAATAAGCACAATGGAGGAGGGGTAAATAAAATATTATCTTGAATAAAAAAAAATTAAATACATATAGGTACCTGGTACCTGGTACCTATACATTTTAGTATTTTACACATATTATACAATTGTGACTTGTGAGTACAAAAAAATTGTATGAGATTGTTCACTTGGTCAGGTATCTATAAACCTACTTGAGAATTTTAGGTTCCTAAGTGGAATTTTGATAAAATATATTATACTAAGTAATAATTGTGTGATCGTATACATAATATAAACGATTCACTATTTTGTATTTCGAGTTTATCGATGAATGTATAGATTTTATACAATGATGTGTATTTTTTTTCTGTCTGCAATCACTTTTTGGGGCAAAAAATGATTTGACTTTCAACTTTGAGGGCTATTATGGTTATTGGTTAGGTTAGGTTAAATTTGGTATGAATGGAAGTTCGGAACTTTGAAAAGAAGGGGATCAAGCTAGAAAAAATAAAGGTTTTTATGCAGAACCAGTATTTGATAAATTCAATTTTATTTTATTAGTGTCACTGAAAAATAAATGACCCTAGATAGTAAATATAGTTCAAAAATTCACAAAATGTTTATATTCGTATTTTTTTTTAGTTTTATTTTTAAGTTTCTAAACATTGGTTTAGAACACCTTATATCTTCCTTCGCAATTCGCATCGGTCCTCGGTCCATTCGTTCGTTAGTTACCAGCACATGGTTATAATATTGTTGATGCTAGTAGGTATTATTTATAAATAGCCCGTAAACTTATTTCTTGTCATAACTTAGAGTCACAATTGCTTGTATTAAGATTATATAAGATTATATATTGGTTCTATTCAAAAAAAAATTATACTAAATAGTATTAAAAAGTAGTAATGTTTGAGTATTTAATAGGTATAGATTCGTATACTAGCTAGAATTAAAAACATATTGGTACCTATATAAAAAGGTTACCAAACCACTTTTAATTTGCATAATTAATTTATTTATATTTTTATATTTTATTCTTCAAGAAGATAATGGGCCTCGCCGCCCCACTGTTCGTGTTTATGAAATTAAAGTTTATTACATTGTATTAAAATGCGTTTGGAAACCGGGAATTCAGCATGCCCGCAAAACGAGCTTTCCATCATGTTTTTTCTGTATATGTATATACGTCGATAAGAAATTATTCGTACGGTTAAAACGCTTCAAAATGTAATATAAGGCTTAAAAGTAGTTCATACTGTATAATTGTAACCCAAAAAACTAAAATATTATATGAACACAGCAATTTGTCTTTAGATATATTTTTTAAGTTCAAATTTGGACAAAATTAAATGCTTAATCAATGAATAACGATTTTAATTACTTTATTGTAATAATTTAGAAATATTATTATTAGTGGGAACTTAAAACTTTTAATATATTTCAATATATTTTATAAACAAAATTTAATTTTCAAATGCAATGCTTTTTACCTACTGAGTATAGTAAAATAATTTACTTTGATAACATCATAGAATAAGTATAGGTATTACCTAGAAATATAGGCTGACAAACCGTTTTTGCTCAGAATCGTTTTTCCAACCCAATGATTGTTCATTTAATTAAAATTTAAAACATACTCCCACACCTATTACTGTACGACAGATGAGCGGTTATCTACTTTCCCCCTTTTTTAAAAATAATTTTCTTCTACAATTATGCCAGGTACCATACATTGTATATTCTAATTTTATAATAGGTATAACTTTTTTTAATTGATCGTGAAATATTCCCCTACTCACATTTACTGTTTGAACGTTATACCGATCAGATAAATTTCTCTTTAATTTGAAATGGTTGAATAAGGTTTACCTGTATGCATTTTTTTTCTTCAATTATATCGAACCATACCTATATTAATTTTCTATACATAGTGAATGTTAATTCTATATTGCAGACTATATTCTATATCATATTAGTTAGTAGTTTAGGATCTTTGTGTAATTTGACGAATTAAGTGAAGAATTAATATTAAAAATAATATTGATTAGTGGTTAATACCAATATCAATTATTAACTGTAAATTATTAGTATTCTAGTATTCTTTTAGTTTCTTATTGTAGCTAAAAAATATTAAAAATCGTAAGTCATAATTTTTTTTTATAAGCGTTTATAGTTCAAAATTTTACGAAATCTGTCGAAAACGCGAAAATTTGCAAGTAATTTTGAAGTTAAAAATCATAAAATTTTTTACGTCTATAACTAAGGATTAAAAATACAAAACTAAGTTTTCCTTCAAGTAGCTATAGAGAAAACTCGAAGCATCGTTATAGGAAAAATTTTAAGTGCGTTTGAATTTTAAATTTTTACCAAATAGCGTAACGATAACGATTTATCCTGAAACGATTTTAAATATTTGTTATTATTCAAAAAGTATAAGTCGTAGATACGTGAAAATTTTATCAGTTATTTAGATTGGCATTTTCTTTACATGATTTAATTTTAAAAATATTTTGACTTTTTTTTGAGATATTTATAGACAACTGAAATTTTCAATTTTTCTGAAAAATTTTTTTGAAGGGTTGATACAATTTTTTTGGCCCTATCAAAATACTTGAAAATTGAATACAAAGTTCCTCATAAGTTATTCTTATAGTAATTAAAAAATTATAAAAATACATAGGCACAATTTTTTTTTATTAGCATTTGAAGTTCAAATATTGACTAAATACGTAAAAATTACGAAAATTCGCAAATTATTTAAAGCTAGAAATTTATACAAAATTTTCTTTTTAAATCAAAGATTAGAAAAATTTTAATAATCTATAATATATCCTAGACTGACAAATCATCTCCGTTCAGAATCGTTTTTCGTATACAATGATACCTATCATTGCATTCAAATCTAACCTACCCTAGTCAGAGGTCCACCCCACCACCAGCTATTGTACAGCAGAGCGACATCCACTTACCCGCTTTTTTTTTGTGTATCTGTGTACATGATAAGTTGTCGAAATAGTGCTTCAATTTTCAACTTCACTTTAATGGTTGAAAAGTGAATCTAGTTGGTTCGTTGAGGTATGATAAATTTCGAAATTCCCAGTGATTTTCAAAAGCACCGGGAAAAATAAAAAAATAAATTAAGGAAAAACAAGAGTTTTGATAAAATCGATTTTAGACATTGGTATAATTCAAAAACAAGTTATCGTAGGTACATGAAATTTTCACTAAATTTTTATACTGGAATTTTCTATACTTGATAAAATTTTCAACAATTTTTAAGTTATTTACAGAATTTGAAACTTTCCGTTTTGTTAGTTTTTTATTCTATAAATTTCGATAAAATTGTGTTCTTTGAATCATAAAACTTGAAAATTTAATACAATGTTCTCCTTAAGTTAATATAATAACAGTTGAAAATATTAAAAACACATGGGCACGTTTTTTTCATTTAAAGTTCAAATTTCAAAAAAATGTATTGAATTGCAAATTTACAAATTCTTTAGTTGTTAAAAATGTATAAAACATTTAACTTTTATAGCTAAATATTGAAAATTTAAAACAAGGTTCCACGTAAGTAGTTGATTCTGCTCCAAAAAGAATCTAAAAACTATACAAATACAGTTTTTTTTATAGTTATTTTAAGTTGAAATTTCGATGAAATTACATATTAAATAATCAAGAACGACAATTTTAGTTACATTGTTGTAATTTAAAAATATTATTCGTGGATACTTAAATTTATCTGTATCTTTAACAATATTTGTGTTTGTACGTTGGTTTTTTTACGATAATTCAATATTTAAGTGAGTTATGAGCATTTTTAATGTAGTGTATATTTTATATGCTCATAACTCACTTAAAAATTGAATTATCGTAAAAAACCAACGTACAAACACAGATAATGTACTCACCATACGACCATACACTTTCATAATAGATCGATTCACTTTAATTTTTAAACTAAAGGAGCTACAAGTATTCTGCTGAGCGTAAATTTGCTATATTACACACTGGTAAGACGGAGACAACAAATACCATTGTTACGTACTCTTGAATTGTTTACAATATGTTTTGTTCAAATTTATAAGCAGAACCCTTAAAAATATTGTTCTCCGTATTTTTGTATAATGAGTGATTATTTGGTTTAAGTTTACTCAAAGTACGTGATTTTGAGTTAATGTGTTTTATCTATTTTTTCGTTATAGCCATTACAGAACTGTAAACGAAATTTGTCATGTACTATAACAGTGGTGGCTATCATATAGGTATACCTACTCAAAGTTTATCTGTCGATACACTTTATAATTGGGTATTTGGGTGGATGGTCATTGACCGTGGTAGGTACCTCATTAGTGTTTATTATGTAATGATCATAATTTAATAAAAGACATATACTAACCGGCACGGCAGTTAAATAATACTACCTTATGGTTTATAATGCATTCATAATGCAAGTAGTAAGTAATAAGTACTCAACATTAAACAAGACGTCTATTATCTATAATGAAATTAAAATAGAAATACTAGGTAATAAATAATAAATATATTGGATGTAGAAGTCGTAGAATTTGCAATGTTTCTATGAAAATTACACCATTATATTGTTAAGTTCTGTTCTAAAACTAAGCATTTGGTGTGAATAAGTTACCTAATCAATATATTATTATTATTTAAAACTAACTTTTTTTTTTAGTTACATGAAAATATAATACAAAATTAGGTACTAATATAAATTTAAAAAAACTTTATCTATTTTAGATTCTGAGCAGTGCGATAAATTTATTAATTTTACAATGATGTGAGTTTTTTGTGTTTATCATCACGTCTTGGAATAGTATAATAAAAAATCCATTTTTGTTTTTAGTATAGGTAACTCAAAAAAAAAAAAATAACTGTAGATACATGAAATTTCACTGAATGTTTATATTAGCAAATTCGTTACACCATAACATTTTATAAATAATTGGATACATGTTTAGATTAAAGGCATATGAAATTTTCAATTATTATTGTTTTATTTTAGTCCATGTCAATAAAAAAAATGTTCGCTCGAACAAAAAACTTAAACATGTAATACAAGGTTCTTCGTAAGTGGTTGTTAGTACGGAAATTAAAAAAACAAATAAACGTTAATCCACAATAATTTTTTATGAGCGTATGAAGTAGGAATTTTGACAAAATACGTAAAGATCACAAATATTTGTTAATTAATCTGTATAAGAAATTCATAAAAATGTTCTATTTTATTTGACCTTTAAAAATGCAATACAAGATTGCATATACCATTGACTATTGTACATTTGTATCCAAGATCTAAAACAGTTTGAAAACAATGTAGACAAGTTTCAACGATTTTTAAACAAATTCTGAACTTTACATATAAATCAAAACGAAATATTATATTCTAAGATGTCCAAATAACATAATTCATTAGGTGGGTTATTAAACGACTTTCAACATTATGGTTTAGTGGAGATGTTAATAATTTTGGATGTTGGTACAACAACCCAATACCTATCTATGATAATTTGTGTTCGAGTGATAAGCTCGATCAAAGATATATTATCTTTAATCGTTGTGATAAGCAAAATTTCTATCAATAATTTAAGGCTATGTTTGAATTATTAATATTGGCCATTGGGTAAAGAAACAAAATTAAAAAATAAATAACCCATGTTATGAAGATATTTTACGTTTAAAAACTGGAAAGTATTGGAAACTGTTAAATACTACCATACCCTTCAAGAATATTTAATAATATTCATATTTACAATAATTAATTTGAAGGCGTCTACTCTTTTAATCATGCTTTTAATTTCAGTAATACCTGAGTCATAATAATCAAACAAATTATTTTGACAACTTACACAAAGGTAATATTTTTATTAAATATTTTAAGATTTTTGTAAATTATTGTTAGCAATATTAATATTACTATTACTTGAACTAATAGCTAAAATCAGTTGGTTTAGTTTATTTTAATTATTATATATAAACAATTATAAAACTCTAAATTTATTTGTATTTGCATTGTTTAAATAAATGGATAAGTCAACTTAAGAATATTGTACCATTTTGTCAATCATAGTAATCATACTATTCAGTATTCATAATTTTGAGCTTTGAGTTCTCAAAATTCTACTGTATTATAAAAATGTTAAGAACAAATTTAAATGGTTTTAAATGTATTTAAATTGTTATATTTTAGTAAAAATCATAGATTATTTTCCATACTACCATCATTTAAGCTCATTTGAAATAACATTATTAAGATTTAGGTATATTGTATACTTAATAATTATAATAATAACAATGAATTTTAAAAAGTTAATATGCTTACTACTGTTTTTAGTGGTATACCTACTTAAATAAATACAATTAAGTGTACAAATGTCAAATATCAATTGTTAATTATTTGTTATAATATTATATACCTAATTTACTGCTTGGCTAATAATTTCATTTTCATTTTTAGACTACAAATTTACTATGAATACAATCAGCAAGTATGTGCAGTATCTGCGACAAATTCATATTTTATCATCAAATATTTTGAAGCAACAGTTTATAATTAATCAAAAACAAATTTCAACTAATACAAATTCAACATTTTTATATTTTTCTTCAAGTAATTAATTTTAGGAACTATTTATAATAATGTTTAATGCTTATAATATTTCACAGGTTTTAAATCAATGAGATACTTATCAAATACTACTAGTCAATTGGGTTTATCTAACATAATTCCTTCTAATGATATTTTAATAACTAGTATAAAGAGTGCAAAACAAACAAGTGATGTGTTACAAATGTTAAGGCTTCATAATACTGCAATGAGTGCTCCACAACATTTACAAGCATTAAATTCTTTATTTCTACTACAAAAAAGCAGAAGGTAAATAAATAGTAAATTTTAATTTATTTATTGTTGAAATTTAACTCAATGCTGAGATTAGTTAATACATATAAAAATAAAAATAAATGCAATAATTTTAAACATCAAGAAATCTAGTATTATTTTAACATATATACAGTGAAAACTCTCTATAACGGACCTGAAGGGACCATGTAATTTCATTTGTTATTGAGAGTTTTCGTAATACAGAGTAATAAATAGGTTTTAAATCAAACCAACCATTATAAGTTAACTTAATGTTATTTACGTAATATAGAGTTTTTCGTTGTAACGAGTTTTGTTTTAAAGAGTTTTCACTGTATTTTGAAAGGAAAATATTTTTTTTTTTATATCATTGTTATACGATTTGTTCAATAATTCAAATCAAGTTTTTCATTAAAGTATATTGTAATGTAGTCTGGTGCTACATTTTTTTAAATTATGAACTATGCAAATTTTACATTATCCTTATTTTTAAAGTATAAATAATTATCATTTTATTATTAACTTCATTCAAATATTAAAACAAAATGATTTTTTTTCACCATTGGGATGTTACAAATTGTGTATTATATTATCAAAAAAAAAAAAAAAAAAATGTGACCAAAATATAAATGCATAGTATATATTACATGAAATTAATCAACACTCTTGTTTTTATTTTAGAACAAAACTGTCAAATGAAGAAGTAACAAGAAGCCCAGAATTTACAGCAATGTGTCGCAAAATTCAAAATTATTCAAGAAATCTTGATCTAAATGATGTAATGAATAGTGTCAAGTGCTTATCTTATTTGGGCGTATCTGTTAATAGTAACATTATGCAGATGTTATTACAGTTGATTAGTAAAATGATAAATGACATGTCTTTACAGCAAATCACATTTTTACATTTTTTGTTAAAAGAATTATCATCATGCCCTTTAGTTGATGCCTTAAAACTTGCATTGCCAATAGTTTTTGAAACACAAGTACAATACAAATTAGAAGATAATTTATACTGGCAAGTTGAATTCCTCAACTATATTGCTAAACACAGGTTGTCTCAAGAAACATATGACTTTGTCATGTCAAGAATCATAAGAAATATTGATCAAATAAGTCCTAAAATTGTTCAAAGTTTATTACTTTGTTTATATTACAAAGACTATTCAACTGAAAAATATATTGATACAATTAACAGATGTTTACAATATTATACAAATCATCTAGATTATATAGCTGAAATTTCAGATATTAATGCTGTCTTATCAAGAATGATAAATAAGTATTCTACAGATTCTGAGTTGTTTTATAATGAGCAATTTATTAATACAGCTGTGAAATTTGCGATAAAGAAGGAAGAGAGTTTTGAACCTCTAGCATTCATATTGAAAAAATTAAATAGGATTGTAAGTTATATTGATTTTTTACAATTTTATAAAATTAATAGAATATTGATAATCATTGTATTTTTAGGGATTTGTTCACCGTGGATTACTTGATTACATGACAAATAAACTAACAAGTCAACATGATATCTTCGAGAATGTTAAATTTGGAGTATTATTATCTTACATTGCAGCATGTGCTAATGCAAATTATATTCCACCAGGTTTCGAAGAGTTAAAACCACTTATTTTGACAAGACTTAACATGCAAAAGGTATTAATAAATAGTTTAATAAACTCATTATATTAATTGTATTATTTATTATTTCAGGATGTTTTAGAATTACCATGGTTGGTAGTGACATTTGACTTGGCTGTTTTAGGCTGTTGGTCAGAAGAACTTTTAGAAAGAGTATTTTCTAGAGATTTTCTTTATGGATTCTTAAAACGAAGTAATCTATTACCAGTTTAAAATTAACCTGTCATCGGTATCACTATATATTGTAACATGATTGGTATCGTATTAGTGTTACGCTAACATTATCGTTTTGTTGGTTCTGTGAATTATTTATTTAACTGGGAATAGTGAAACATAGATAAAAATATTTGTTTGGTTGTATCTTACAATAGATAATTGTTTAATASCAAATTTTCGATATGAAAATAAAAAACAAATCACTTTGTAATCATCCTCAATCTCACTTAACCACGCACACACTTTTTCACAATTTTTTTCCATTATTTATAAGTATATCAAAAAAAAATTATGTTCAAAAAATTATAATACAGTTAGTATCGTGTGAGCGGGACACTATTCTAATCGGTACTGCGTAATTTTACCAGTCATAATATCTACCTATATATGTTTTTGTTGTTATTTTAATTTATTATTATTTAGGTAAGAGGTATATTGAGTTTCAAAACAATCTATTTTTATTTGAACAAGTGGTTTCTAAAATAAGTTTAATTTTAGCAAACGCTAACACACCGATATCGATGATGGGTTAAATAGAAGTATAAAAAGTAGTAACTAACATTTGTTTTAACAATTAAAAAAACTTATTCTACATTTTAATTTAGTTTATTCAGTTTAATGTATCAATTAAATCTTTTATTATTGTTTATATATCTAACTAGGTGATAATATACATGATCATATTATGTTGCTTAAACTGTACCAAGCTTCAAAGACTTTATATCCTGGTGGTTATAATGGATCATTGCCACCTCAGGAAATTATTGAAAAAGCTATTGATATTTATCAACATAATATCAATGACTTTCCACTAAAAGCTGCCTTAGAACATGGTTTGGGTGGAAGTGATTATGTGTTAACAGGGGTCCGAAGCCAATTGGGACATTTTATTGGTTCGTAATATTATTTTAAGACATAAAATTTAATTTTAACTTCATTCAACATATTTGATTTTAGATCATTTAGTAGTCATGAGACCTGGTGGATACCCTGTTGCCATTAAAAATGAAATCAAAGATAGTAAATCATTGTTGTTGGAAAACATTGTTGATTCTAGTGATAATCTTGCGTAAGTTGACTCACTGACTGTTAATTTATACATTAGTTTACAATAATATTTATATCTTATTATTTTTAGAATTGGTATATTACTTTACAAACCAAATAGCTATGCCATCAATTTAAATTGCTTAAGAGGTCCATACATGCTTACAAACAAAACAATTGAAGCTTTGGGTATAGGAGTTTTACCAATATCAATGGATGTTTGGGATGGTCTTATTGATTATGAAAAGATACCTTACATTATGAGAGAGTTAAAATCAAAGGCTGATCTTAATTTAATTGCAGAGTAGTGTTATGCTATGCATATTTTTTTATATGTACATGTATAATTATACAATTAACACTTCATTCATTAAACTGCAGTTTAGTTAAAATTGTTTTACTATAATTTAGTTTTAAAATGAACTATTACGTGAGTTTGGATTTCTATTGGAAATATTTAACTACAATTTATAAAAACTTACTTTTTAATTTAATTTAAATGTTGTTATAGTTTTGCTCATCATTATGATTTATGTCATAAGTTAAAACTGCGTTGCCAATTTTACATTAATATGATTATTTTTTGTAAATTATTGAACTATTTATTATGAACATGGGTTATGATCATACAGATACAATCAAAATATCATATTTTTAATTGGCCAGAAGCTCAGTTCAACTCAAAAGCTTTATCAAAAACTGGTCAAATGTAAAACAATGTGAAAATGGTTTTGCGCAGGAAAGAATCACTCAAGCTGTAATCCAAGCTAATCAACCAAATTTTCATACTATAAAGAGGAGAAATTATACTGTGCAAAAGTTGTTTTTAATTTTTCGATATCACGAATACAAAAAAAGTTCTTACTGGATACATTATTTTTGAGTTTTTCAAACTTTTTTTAGTTCTAATATTGAAAAAATAAAAACACATTGCACTGTAAATATTCTCCTCTTTATAGTATGAAAATTTGGTTACATAGCTCGGATTACAACTTGAGTGGTTCTTTACCGCGCAAAACCATTTTCACAATGTTTTACATTTGTAAGAGAGACCACACATGCTGGTGTAGTGTCCTCTTAATTATTAATTTATCTTGACAATATTCTTAGGTTGATAATAGAATTTCAAATGATCTAACAATTACACTCTTAGCTTATAAAGATGTTTGATTAAAAATATATTCATTATTTGATTGATATTTTCAAATATTAAACATTTTTAAATAATTTATTTCTTTAATCGATATAAAACATTTTATTTTTTTTTTCACACAGTTGTTATATTGTCTTAAATGTAATTAAAACATATAATTTTTTATTTTGATTAATATTTTATTTAATGTTTGCCATATTATATTGTAAAAATAATTCATGTGTCATTGATTTTATAATATTCAGATAAGCCATTATATTGTTAATAGTGTCAGTGGCTAATAAATCAATACATATATTATTAGTTTTTTAACTTTTGAATAATAATACTTAAACATAGTTTTACCTATTATTTAATTATTATATCTTATGAAGAATGTATAGCTATTTAAAAATATAATATTTTTTGGCATTTAGTTTCAACAGTAATTTACAAAAATTTTTTACTTTTAATAAATATTACATACTATTGTAAAAACTGCAATTTTTATATCATCAACCATTTTATAAATTATTGTTGAAACTGAATTTATAAACTTATTATACTTTGAAATAGCTATCAATTTCTTTCATAAAATATGTACATCAAATAATTATTTGTAAAACTGAGTAAATTTAAATATCATTTTTTTAAAGTTCAAAAACCATTAACACAATCAATATTAACAACATAATATAGAAATACAAACAGCAAAATTAATTAAAATAAAAAAATAATAGTATCTTGTTGCTTTTAAGTGAAAAAATTAATTTTATAATGACATTTAATGGTAAAAATAATTATTTTGAATAAAAATGTATTCAAGTTTGAAAATATCAATCTAATAATCTATGTATTATTTTATACAAATAGCTCTATGTCGAGTGTAAGTAGAGTAATTTATTTATCTAAAATTCTATATTTAGCCTAATTATATTGTAAAAGAAAATTATTTACAAAAAAAAAAAAACAATTTTTTTTTAAATAGTTATTTTGCCTTTTAGTTTGCTCAAGTTATCTTTTATACCATTGTGAGCTGTAGTAAAAAGTAACATTAGTTACTGACCTCTAATTCAGGAAACATCTATGTTTTTGAACATTTAATAACTCTCTTCCCAGAAACAACCTTAACAAGCTAATAATTTAAAGGTGATATGTTTGGCAACTGGGTGCCGTTATAATCTTAGAATTAATTATATCTTGTATCATTGCATATTAAGTTCCTGTGTACTTAAAGTCTTAAAGCACTGAAATATATTTTTGTGTTAGACTACTTATCATAGTAATTATTTGAAATTTGAATTTTATCAATCGTTTGAAAAAACTGGTTTAACTTACAAGTTTAAATCACATAAAAATTATATAATATTATATTAATTATCACTCTAATTAGTCTAATTCAATAAAATAATTTGTCATACAGTATATTACTAAATACTCTATTCAAAAAAATACATAAAATACACCATTTGGCAAATCTAAATGAGTCGTACCCTCTTCCCATTCCCCTATGAATCCCGGAATAAAAATCCCCGGTAAATAAAATCCCCATAAAAAAAATCCCCGGAAAAAAATAATAATGATAATAAAAAATCCCCAAAGCAACTAATTAGTATTTAAATTATAATAATAAAAATAATAATATTATATTATATTATATCTTTATACCTATATTATTAATTAATATATGCAACAAATATTCATTTACAAAATTTATATTAAAAAATTCAAAGTATTTGTATTAAGTATGAAAAAAATATAAAATATAAAAATATAAATGTATAAATAAGAACACGTATAAATAAATACATAAATATGACTGTTAYCGACYAAAATGTTCACATTCATACCACAAATTTAGTGTGCAATAAGAAAGCGTTTTACAGATAAAAAAGGTTCACGGGCTGCCAGTTGCATAGAGCAATAAAATGTGAAATTGGGAAAATACAAGTTATAAAATGATTATTTAAACGTCTATCTATACGTTATTATAATGGTTACGGTTAGTACATCTTCAGTTCCTGTTAAGTAACTTTAATTTGTATGACTGTGCGACTATGGAAGTCGTTAAATCTAATCAAGGGAACGATAAAATTTGCTTAAATGGTTATACTTATGTACACCAAAAAGACTGTAAGTTTTTCAAGAGATGGAGGTGTGCAAAATATAGTTCATTTCAATGTTTAGCTATTTTAAAAACATCGCATCAAAATAGTAATCCAAGGGAGATCCATGAACACAATCATTCTGCCAATAAAAATGGTAAGATTTATTTTAATTTAATAATTTTACATATAGTTAGGACACTTATATATTTATGTGTTATAAATATGTTCTCAAATTGTAATTATTTTGTCATGGTTAATTTGAGATAAACCTAGTTATATTTTAAGCTGGTAGGTAAAAAAAATTTTTCCAATTTCGTTCATAACATGAACAAAAATTGTTGCGATTAAAAAAGAAACTTTCTGCAAACTACCGACGCGACGGCGACGGTACGAATAATAAATTATATAGCACGACAAGTTATTGTCGATAACAATATTTTATCATAGGCCTCGATAGGTACCTAWTACTGAATTAGTAACCAATTAGTACRYCCAGAACTAAACAAGTAACAAATACTACAGTAACAACACTATAAAAATAAAAACAATATATATACAATTTTTTTCTAATTTTTAAACTACATTATGATATAATAAATATAATTTAAATGCATTTTATAGTGCATTTCTTATAAAATAATATGTTGGTACAAATTAAAAATTCATATTTATTAAAAAATTTTAATGTTTTAAATGTAATTGTATAATTGTATAGAAATTAAATATTTTATGCTGTATATGTATATTAATGTATCATTATTATTATTTATTATTTTTTTTTTACCAACTAATATACATACTCTAATAGTCTAATATACTAATTAGGTATATTATTATAATTATGTAATTTTTTAAATAGTTGCTTTGGGGATTTTTTTTCCGATTACCTCCCCTATAACAAGATCTGTGATTGCTCTGCTGCAGTCGCAACCATCAATGCCGGAACAGATGGTCACAAAGATTGCTTGAGGTAGTTATAAATGCGAGTTTTGATAATTTTTTTGTCCCTCTGCGTTCTTATTTTAAGGAACAGGCTAACAGAGTATATTATAATAGATTACATTAGTCCATTCTCGCCTGAATATATGATACTCCAATATATTAACCATTTTTTGTAAAGTACTCAAGTCAGTAAATCTTATTCAAAATATAATGCAGATATTGTAGAAATATTTATAAAATACTATCTGATACTCTTGTACTTTGTTACCCGTTAAAAATACCAACTCTATATGATACAAAATTTGTGTTTAATTTTTCATTTAACACCCAATGAAGCTAGTGATGTTCAAAAAACAAAAATATTATAATAATTAATATAAATAAAATATTAAATAATATAAAACATATATTATTATAATATATATTTCGATATTTAAACCACGGATGTAGACTCTATAGAATCTGATGTATCTATATAAAGTATATACTACTACTACTACTACTGATTACTACAACAGCCCATAATGACCCTTAGCTTCCAAAACAATTCTTCTCCACCTGTCTCAGGCCACGATCTTTAGTTACATTTCTCTAATTCTGTATACCCAGCTGTTGCAGATCCTTCTCGTCCATTCTTTGTACATGACCTAATCATCTTATTCTTCCTGCCTTAATGAATCTAAATATATATTTTATTTTTTAATATTTGTTCTATTTCATTATTTCTTATCCTCCAACTCCCTTCTTCAAACACAGCACTAAATACTTTCCTTACTACATTTCTTTCAAATGTTTTTAATTTGTTGCTATTCGCATTTGATAACGCCCAAGTTTCGGCTAAGTAGCACAATACCTGCTTTATAAGATTTTTATATAACTTCAACTTTGTGGTTTTCGATAACAGCTTTGATCTAAAGAGTAAGATATTGGTAAAGTATGCATGATTGCTAGCCCTAATTCTTCTGTTAATTTGTTCGAACATTTTTTAGTATTATTGAGTGCAGAACCAAGGTACATGAAACTCAAAGTTATTACTCAACGACTTCTAAGTTATTCTCACCAATTGTAATGTTCTTTACTCTTCGCCGTGCTTTTACTGCAGATAGTTACAAGTATTTAGTTTTATCTGTGCTATTTTTAATCCTATACAACTTCCTTTGCTTTTAATATTAAAATAGGCTTTTCTCATGGCACTTACAATTCTTGCTATTAATATAATGTCATCAGTAGTTTATGCGCAGATTTACCACGATTTATTAATAATGCTTCCAAATTTGATTTATACAGGGTGTAACAGAAAGACCTGACCAGAAAAAAATAATTATGCCAATTCACCGTATGACAATTTTTTTAAATATTATATGATGAATAAATAATTTAAGAAATATACTCAAGTCAGCAAATTCTCAAAAATTATATTTTTTTAAATGTTATTGCGTTCACAATTAATCTAATCAAAAAGAAAAATAAACTACTTGTTTTAGATAAATCTTTTTACCATCAAAATTGTTCTTATAATCAGATTCATAAATAGGCTATTTTGAATTTATCCAACATTTTTTAAATTAAATTTATTTATTTTTATTTTCAGTACTAAAAAATAAAACAAAAAATGTATTATACATGTAGTGCTAGGTTCAATTAATGAATGAAAAAAAATAAAAATAAAATAATAATATTAAAGTGAAAAAAAATTAGTCCAAATGTCAGTTCTATCAGTTACATCTTGTATACTTGTTAAAATGCATGCTTTACATTTCAAAATGAGAATAAATATATAGTTAAACAGCTGCAGTTTCTCACAAAACGGAAAATTAAATTTATTTTAATCGGCTATTGAGAAGAGTAACAGAGAAAACTATATAATTGTTATTTGTCAGAAAGAAACAGACGCTTTTGGCTCCAAGGCCACAATTCATTCTTGTAATATAAAGTATATATAAATTGATATTTAACGTCTAATAGCGTCCTTTTTACCAGTCAACAATTTTTTTCAAAAAAATGCTTTTTTGATAAGTTATTATTTAAGACAAGGAAAAAACCAAATCAAAAGTTTTGAACAAATTAAATTATAATTTATATTTTCAAAAATACACCATAGGTAATATTATACAATTATGTGGTCTTCACATGATGTACAAGTTTGAGTAATAGTTACATAGTTAATGTAAATAAGTTTTGTAACTTGTAACTAGTTACAAATTACATTTTACTTATTGTACAATTTTATATTTATAAAAAGAAAACTAGAAAATTAAGTTATTTTATTTTATTGAATAGATTCAATATAAAATTAAAATTAAGATTATTAAAATAATATTTTCTACGAATGTAATAATTTTTATTTACATTTTTACAAATCTATTTACATTAAAATTTGACAAAAAAAGCAAGTCTGGTTAGATGTGTTGATTTTAATTTTAATTGAACCTTTGATGACGATTCTCAAATTGAATAAATAATTTAATTTTAAATATTGCAGCCAAACATAAAAATCAAAACAAAGTTATTTCTAGTGGCGGTCATATGATTTTGTCATGGAGGAGATTATGACTGATTTTTTAACAATGACTATTTAATTATAAAAAACTAGATATTTTACATTGAAAAAAGATCATGGGGGATCTACTTCACTCATCCCTCCCTTTTACCGTCACTGATTATTTTAATGTATAAATTAAATAATATAAAAGAAATTAAAAAAATATTGCTGAATTGAATAATTAACAAATAAATTATAGAAACAAGACTGCCAGTGTTGTGTAAGCAGAGGATCCTAAGATTCTTTGGCCACATTATAAGAAGGGATGAATCAAGCCTGGAGAAGCTAGTGATCGAAAGAAAAATAGAAGGAAAAGGAAGCCGCGGAAGAACACATGCGTTGGATAGACCAGATCAAAGCCATCAATGGCTATCCACTGGGGGAGGCAATTCGATCGGCAGAAAATCGTGAGATCTGGAAAGGGATTGTTGCCAACGTCAAATATTGAACACAAATAAAAATAACGTAGTTTAAATTATTTAAATCATTGATACAATGATATATTTATATATAATTAAACGTGTTTAAGTCTAACATTATCAAAATACATACATCAAAAATAAGTTTTATGGTACACATTAATTATTAAAATTGTTATAATGTGCTATGGAGTAAAAATCAATAAAATAAAAGTTAGTTTGGTTTTTAAAACAACTTGCATAACTGTTTTAGTATTTAAGTGAATGTATAACTTATAACACTGGGACATTTCTACCAAAGTTAAACAGAAAATACAAGCAATTTAATTTGCACACTATATTTATTTGAATACAAAAATAAAAAGAGAATTATATTATTATTTATTAGAAAAGTACTTAAGGACATTTAAGTAATGAGCAGATTTTGTTTTTGATTTTTTAAGACTGTATTTGTAAGAAAAAAAATTACCAGGTAATATTTTAAAAGCTTAATGAATTAAAGAAACTAATAAAAAAATTAATTACTTAAGTTACTACCTTCTCTAATTTAAAGATTTCATATGTATTATAAAATTATGTTAAATGAATTGTTTGTACTTGTTTTAAAAAAGTCTAGTAGTTAACCAGTAAAAAAAAAATAAAAATATTTTTCCTTGAAAAACAATTATCTAAGACATGATTTGTGAATAATTAATAATTGGTAAACAACATTGTATGATATTTTCTAGTTAAACCAGAAATTATTAAATACAATTTTTTTATTTATATTTAAAATATTTAATTTATTATCTATACTAAATAGGTAATATTTACTGAGATGAAAAAAATATTAATTTTACTTTAATGTACACGTTTTCAGAAATTAATATTTATAATATTTAGGATAACATAATTTACCTGCAATATCATATAAGTGCTATTAAAGAAATGTTATAAGTCACATTGAACATTAAAAATTTAATGTTAAATGATTTAACAAAAAGGTCATATTTTGTGTTCCATTACTCATTAGTCATTTTAAAAATTTATGAATTTTTGTTGCTACAAGAGCGTCTACCTAATGATTGTATATCTGGAGATTGTTGAACTACTAATAGATCGGATGTTACTCTATTACGTATTTTAGCTTTTACTTTGTTATTTGCTTCATTTTTACCTTGTATCAAATTTTTAGATTTTGATTCCGCTAAAGATGCAAATTGCTTTTCAGGTTTTAGGCGTTCAATTTTTATTTCTGGTAAAACTAGATCGACTTGATGTCCAAACTTTAGACATGCTTTTTCTAATGCAAGTTTAGATTTCTGGTCTTTATCACTAGAGCGCAAGTTTGATTTTCTACTAGTAGTTTCAGGTGTAACAGAACGGTTTGAAGTTTTACCTCTAAAATTCTCTGGAGTTACTGATCTAGATGAGCTATCCGAAACAGTTAAATCTGTCAAATTATTTTTATGATTCCTACGCTGTTTACTATTATCAGAACTGAAACTAGATTCTGACACGTTTCTACTTTTCATTTTTCGACCTCTGAAATTTGAGGTTATTTCAATCTTCTCCACATCCTTAGATTGATTTGAATTTTTTTTATTTAACTGTTTTGAATCTTTTAACTTATTTTTTTCATCAGATTTACTATTTTCTAGTTTATCATTTGTACGCAATGATMTTCTAGTACATGGACCATCATCAGATCCAACATCATTTGTCTTAGCTGGAGAGCTTTCTAATAATGTTGAAGGAATTGTCTCATTGAGACCTTCCTTCGAATCTACAGAGGACATCGAATTAGACTTGGATCTTGTTTTACCACTCCAATTTAATAATTTTTTCTTATTAGCTTCCTCGAGTAAACCTTTAAAATAATATCAATTAAATAATATTCAAGATAAAAAATTTAAAAAAATCATTATAATCAACTTACATTCTTTTTCCATTTTTTTAATTTTTTCTCCTTGTTCAGCAATCAACTGGTCATATTCTTCTGGTAAAACAAAGTCTTTCTCAGTAACATTAAAATTTATATGTTCTATAACATCCTAAAAATAAAAATAAAAATATTAGACTTAATTATGTAGAAAGGTGAAATATCATCAATAAGGTTATTATTTACAGCAGCTCTAATATCCCATTTAGTTGACAAATAATTCCATAAGACATCAATTGGTATATTAATTTTTAATTCTTTATTTATTTTTTGTTGTAGTAGAAGCATACTCAAGTGTTTATTAATTCCTGAAACCAAATACAATATTTTACCAGTTATAATTTATGAATATAATTTGTGTATTTATGTATATTATAATTGTACAGCAGAATCTCAATTATCTGAAATAATAGGGCACCTAGTTCAAAATTACAGTTTTTTTAACACTAGATATATACATTAATATTATATATATTTGATATGTGCATACATATCATGAAAATAATAAAAAACATATACAATATGTACAAGGTATTTATAATTATAATTATTATTAATATAGAATTATGATATACATTAATTTATTACATATGCAATTAATTCTTATTATGTCAAAGTCAAACGTCGCTATTTCAAACCTTTCATTATCTCTAACTACATTTAAATCCCCTTAAAACCACCATTACACTTGATGATGTTAGCTCTTGATAAATCGATATACATTGAATCATTTTTTGTTATCTTGAGTACACAAATAATATTTTTATTTAAGGTAAGAACAAAAAATTATTTATTTAGATAGTTATTGAAAAAGGATAACCGTAAAAATTTGAAATCGCCAATGAATTCAATATTCTACCAAATACAATATCATCAATTATTCAACAGAAAGATAAAATGTTGAATTACAATTGTTTAAATATGTAAAATGAGGATGACTTCTTAATTGCTATCAGTCAAATTTTATTAAAGTGGTTTACTTTGAAAAGATAATAACATACTATTAAATGGAGAAATTCTACTTGAAAAAGCAAATAAATATGCACAACAACTAAGAAACTTGATATTTCAAAATTAGCCCTGTTTCCCTTGAGATTTGACATGACGAGAATCTACTGTAAATGATTATTTTTACAATTATTTAAGATAATATGTTATGATACACATTTGGTATATCTTTATAATAACTAATTTACCTAAACAATCAACAATAAAAATAATCATTATTAGTCGATGCTATTTTAAAATCAATAATGAATTGATTTGAGGAGAGGTTAGGTTGATGCACAACCAATGCAAACAGTGACACATCGAACTTACCACAAGGCTTTAGACGTATCATGTTATAAAGCAAACATTTCTCAAGTTTTGTAGTCCATTCAAAATTTATAGTTTGCTTGACACCAGTGGGATTGCTGTTGTCCGCCATTGAACAATTAGAATTAGTCGCATCCGATTTGGACAGTGATTGATTTGACATGACTGGAAAATGATGATTGTTAGGTACTTGTTATGCGATATTAGTGTTGGATGAGGTCAAACAATTCTTGATAACACTGAAAAAATTAAGACGGTATTATAATATAATAGAATATATTAGAATATATATGACATATACCACTACTACACTATAATATTATTTATTATGACAAATGATCTCTTCACCAATGTAAGGCATGAGTACGCTATAAGTATATATAATTAACACGTAAAGTCACGAGACGCCCGTCGCAATCACTTTAAAAAAAAGAATATTCGTAAGTGGTATAGAACAACAATAATGCGGACGCCATTTCGTCGGAGTTGGGGTTATCTGTCGACCCGAGTTATCTATGGCTGCCTGAAGACAAAGGGCAATTAGTCCCTGCATATTATTTTCATAATAACCACAATAATAATAATAACAATAACGGATTTGGTTATTGTACCACCATGTCGGCTGTTGACTATCAACTGCGAGAAACACCGCGAACAACGCACACGACGCCACATAGCAATAGACCGAAGAACGTTATAGTTACCCAAGTAGGTACCCAACGCCCATTATTACCTGCGCTACAGTTATAAACATTGATCCGGATATAGCATCAAACATTGTTCCGAATTGTTAACATTGTAATTCGTAGCAGTTGTCAAACGTCGAAGTAAAACCAAGATGGCGGGGACGCGCGAGTGAATGAAAAACGACAAGACTGTTATAGTCGACTCACCTATTTGGAAGTTTACCGTTTGCCAGTTTATCCGTCACGAACCACCGTCAGTATCCGAAGAGCCTTCTATAAACTATGAGCCAACAACAGTTGAACAGAGTGAAAGCCGTAGAATGAGTCTACTCATGGACGAGTACAATATACGAGTTTACTATGGACTCAAACTAATGTGCGTCAAATGTAGTATTGTCGTCAATGTACAACGATCAATTTTGTCCGTTCGCGGTGGGTTACACGGGCACCACCGCCGGTGCTGCACTCTGTGCGGTACCACGATGAGCAATCACTATGAAATAATAAATTTGAAATTTACCTCCAGCACACTGCATGGTATTAACAATGAAGGATACCACACACTGCAGCGGTAGCGGTAGCGATGGCGGTGGAGGCAAAAAGAAGCCGCACACATTCAAGCGCTACCGCGGCGGCGGCAACCGTATATAGACGAAAAAATTTTACCTCCACCGCTCCAGTTTGAGGCGACCCACATATTATACTAATTATTAATATTATGGTCATCGATTTTGTACTTTACATGTCCGAACAGATGTCCAATTTTCTGAGTGTCAGAAAGAAATTAAAAAGATTTGAAATATTTTGAAAATTTTATCAAGTATAGAAAATGCCACATTCAGTGAAAAATTCATGTGTATACGGTAATTTTTTTTAGAGTTACAACAATATCAAAACTAGATTTTCTCAAAAATCGATTTTGCTTAAAAATTCAGCTTTCCTTATTTTTTATTTTTTTTTATTTTTTGTCTTTCCCGTTACTATTAAAAACTACTTGAAATTTCAAAATTTGACCTCCCCAACGCACCAACTAAATTCACTTTCCAACCGAATAGGTTATTGAGGTTGAAAATTGAAGCATTATCTCGACAACTTATCGTGAACACAGACACAAAAAAATCTAAATAAAAAAACACATATCATGGTAAAATCAATACATTCCTCGCTCCGCTCAGAATCTAAAATCACAAGAACACGTATTAGTAGAAAATTTAGCTAAAAGCAATTTGCATTTATACCTATCTGAAAAAAAATCTTATACTAAAAATATGAAAATAATTAGAAATTAGAGACATTTAAGACTTTGAACTCGCACTACTTTAAGTAAGTATAGCTAATGCGGAGTAGGTAAGCCCCCATTCCATATTATTTTCAAATTTTGTCACATATTTTGATTTTTTTATTACAATTAAGTATGTTCAATAATACTCATTACGATTGGTGTAGCAGTTCCAGAGCCAATAAGTAAAAAAAAAAAAAAAACAGTTTTCATTTTTATAAATTTCTTCTATCATAAAATATATTATGTACCAATGTGCCCATGATTATTACTTAGGAGATATTTTTATTTTATATTCTATGTATTTGTGACCATTGTATGAGGATTTCTGTTCATTAGAAAACACATGAAAAATTAAAAATGGACAATCTTTATTTTTAAAACCGCATTACAATTGTTTAAGTTTTGTTAGCAAAATGCTATTCGTTTATTAATTATTTGACATAAATTTGCTAAGGACTTATTCTGGGTAGGTAAATGTTTAGTATTTTTTTGTATTACAAACGTGTTCATAGACAAATAAACAAATTGGACCAGGCTTAACTCTTTAACTAGTGTTCAATATAGGAGTTTAACAATAGTTTATTATTTTTAATACCTACCTACCACCTACCTACCCATTCATATTTTATGACAATAAACTTGCATCATTTAAAAACTAAAGTTGATATTGTCTAAGATGATTCCAAGATCATGTAATATGATACACTTTTAATTTATACCAATAGTTTTAGCTATCTATATGTATAGGTGTTATATATTTTTATTTAAACTATGTCATCCTGGGTTTTATAATTTGGTTGGTACTTGACCTATATTATTGATATTAATATTTATACATGGTAGTATACCACATAACGCACAGATTATTTGGTTTTACATATACGAATGAACTATAAAAAGGTGCGCGTAGGAACAAATAAGTCGATTTGGTTTTATTAGATACGACTACCCCCCTCCTTTCACGTTCTCGATGATTCTGCAATTCTACCCAATTGTGTGTGTTTATTACATATACGTACCTATTTTAAGGCCGTAAACATTTAATAGAATAATTACTTTACAAATAAAAATTATTAATAATTAAAACAATTAACTTTTCATTATATCAATGAATGTTGACTGCTCTGACTATGAGATAATAAAAATTGGCCCATTTTTTTTTTTTTTTATTCCAGCATTATCTGTTAGTTTATATGAACATTTCGTCAGAATCAGTTTTTCTATATCTACATTTCAAGGACAGAAATTAAAAATGTTGTTAATTCTCCAATATTTTGTATTTAATAGTTAGACGTAGCCAGGATAAATTATATTTTATAAAGTGTCTCACAGCAGTAGCGGATCTGAAGATTATTTGAGGAGTGTGTGATTTGGTATCATAGATTGATAGGTACTAACAAAGACGTAACTGAATACACATTTCCGATTTTCTCATTAAAAAAAAATACCTTTTTTTGTATCATTTCTTTATAAGTTTTAAGTTATAGTTATGACTTAAGAATTTTATATTCATTTTATCATACAGTGCTATAATTTGAGTAAAAAGCCCTAAGGGGGGGGGGGGTAATCGTCATACCCCCCGGGCCCCCTAAAATTCACCAGTGTCTCACAGTAATTGTTCTAGAAGTATATATTTATTTATATATCATGTCCCTGTTCGTTCATGTATATTATATATTCCACTATGTACCTTTTCACTGATATATGTACTTTAAAGATCACCTAGGTATAACACTACCTATTTAAAATAGGTACTATTTTGAATATTTAATACTTTACAAAAATTACTAGGTAATTTAACTTTTAAAAATGTATATAAATTAACTTTCTCGGATGTTTGGTAATATTAAATTATATTAAGTATTAAAAATGTTGTTACATACTAAGTTTAAATACGCTCTTTTTAATGTGCACAAAAGTGAATTCGATTTTATCAGTCATTTATTCAATTAAATATATAATTAAAGATGTGTATTATCCTAAAACACATTAACTAGCCTTTATAGTGGCCCTAACTTCCGAATTAACTGAATCTAATACCCATCAGGAATTTCGTATAAACGTGATAGTAATAAAGAAAACACCGTATAATTAATGTATTTTGTATATAAAATATATTTTTATTTAGTTAATGTATGTAGACATTAATCGATATAGATACTAAAGTGTTAACCTTAACATGGAACTACATAGCAATCACCATACAAAAAATTATATTTATAGAAATAATTGACTTTCATAACTTTAGGATTTTGGTTAGATAGATTTTAATTTTAAAAATTAATCGTGATTCATTATTTTCGCCATGTTTTAATCGAATCAATTTTCAATATATTTTGTTTTTTCAACTTGCAATAATAGTGATGAGAGTAATAATTAGGTACTTAGATTATATTTTTATTTTAATAATTATAGCTTTTAGAACATAAATAATAGTTTGAGCTTAAACTTAATTTACTATTCAATGAATTAAAATATTTTTTCAAGGGATATCATCTTTTGAAACGTTTAGGTGCTTATAATGTTTAGGCACTGGTGACCATAATAAAATTATTGCATTGCGCTTGTAATATACGTATGTAAACGCACCGATTATTAAAATATTAAATATTATAATCTACAAGCGATAACATTCCAAGATTAGATTCATACTATATAGTAAGACTTATAATAATAATTACTCGAAGACTTTTACTTTATGACTCACACTTCATAGTTCAGACACGTTAATGTTTTAGTAGTTGACAGTTGTCACATTTTACATACAACTGAATAGTTACCAAACTACCGTCATATTTATTTGCCTGTATTTTTTTCCTTAAATAAATAGCAC